ATTTGAATGTCCCATGGTTTGAAATAAATACGCACATTACATAAACATAAATATTCAATAAACATTCCTCTGTGAAACAGAGGAAATTATTCCGGAAAAATGAAAGTGTAGCCAAGGGATTAATCTTAAGCTACCTTGTAAAGAATTAATTTCTTTCCATGTCTGAGACACCTTTGAAGTGTCTTGATATTAAAAACAGAGTATCATCAAGTCCATGCAGCAACAGTAGGCATGGAGTCACCAAAGATGACTGGACTCCTCACCAGAATCCTGGGATCTCTTCATGATCCAGTAAAACACAGTTTCATCTGGATTAATTTGTTGTTTCTGAGGCTATGCAAAGGGTTTTAGTTATGGTGATTCTTTCCTTTCTTCACACTTAAAACTTCTTCTTAAATTGGCTATCTTTTTTCACCTGAATGCTGAATTTGGAGAAACTGACATCTCTGCCTGGTAGTCAACCATCTGTCAGTACCCGGCCCCCTGGGCTGAGCTGGCCACAAGAACATCATCCTGACAGTACCAGCTGCTGATGTACGCCACATGGGTAACCCAGAGAGTCTACTTTCCATCTGGAACAAGATGATGAGTGCAATAGCCAGGCCAGCAGCCATCTCAGCAACTTTTCCAAGGCCAGAAAAGATGGTGGCATATGTCCAGATATCTCATGGCAAGTATAGTAACTAGGACATTTTGTCTTTATCTGTGATGGATATTTCTAAGGGAAATACAAAAGGCAGAGACATTATCACAAGACCAGGCAGATCCTCAGATCAGCAGATTAATTTCACCATATTCAAGTAGACTGCTCGAGAGAGTAAGAATCTGCTGCAAATGTTAAGAGCTTGTACACAAAAGTAACACATTCTGCTGCTACATTTGACACTATCCTAGTATGAAACACCGTGAATAGAGACAGGCAGGCCACCAAATGTACTGTGTCATGTTGATCCCATTACTGTGGGGGTGAATTTATGCTAATTGCAACAGAAAGAAGGGAAACAGAGTTAATTGTTTCAGGCAGGACAAAAGAGATTTTGAAACTTAAATTAAGGCATGTAACAGACACACAGGCAGCCTACTATGTAATGAGACCCTGATGCAGTAAGATCCTGCATAGGATTTCTTGTATCAGTGAGGAAGTGAGGGCAGTGGTAGGGGGAAGAGTTTGTTGCAAAAGCAGCATTTTTCTATCTGTGATTTAAGAAACACACTGTTTTAAAACAATTCACTCGGCCAGTGGAACTGAAGTTTGTTATGTGTGGTAAGGAAACTCCTAAAGGCCAAGTATCAGCATTATTTTCAATTAATCTTTGTTCAAGTATCACACTTTTCTCAGTAGAATTGACAGGTACTTTCAGCTCTACTTGACTGCAGCACTAGAGGTGGTTTCTACCACTTGAATTGATAAATTCTTCAGCTGCCCAGGCCACCACTCTTCCAATAATTCACAGCTCTAGCAACTTAACTCATGTGGTGTAACTGCTGTCAGTCAAGCAGAACTGATTGAAGACAGACTGGCTTCAGTGTAAACACTGGAACAGGTTGTCCAGGCAGGTGGTAGATGCCTCATCCCTGGAAACATTCAAGATCAGGTTGGACAGGGCCCTGACCAACCTGGTCTGATGAGATGTCCCAGCTCATTGCAGGGGAGTTGGACTAGATGACCTTTAAGGTCACTTCTAACCCAAACAATTCCATGATTCCATGAAAAATAGGTGCTATGTTTCCATGCTGTACTGCTCTTCCCAGCATACCTTTATGTAAGAAGGATTTTATCAGAGTAATCAATCATTACATCTGGCCACGTATGGCTCTGAATCTAGCAACGAAGTTGTAATTGGTCAGTGGTTCTGCAGCAGATGTGTTTAGATTGCATGTCAGTTGCTAGTTTTTGTAATTGTAACCCCTCAGCTCAACAGGGAACATGAAAGTATCATATTTTCCTCATTTGTTCTTACTATTAGTGACAACCCTACTTGAAAATTCAGACTTGAGACACAAAAGGAATGTAATTGTCCTGAATAGTTTTGTACAGGTATAAAGGATGAGCATGCAGATCACATGTTGTATATGTCAGAGATCAGGGTCCATCCCTTTCCCTGCTTTGTTTTGGCTGTATTGACTCCGTAAGCATCATAAGCAATCCACAGTGTGAGTATGACCCAGGCCAATGAGCAAGTTTTGTGCTGACACAGGGGGCTGTCCTGCAGTAGTTTTTTTTACTGATGCACATGAAGAACTGCAGAATGTCAGAGTTTAAAATCTTTGGATGTCTACAGCTGGAGGAGGTGAACTTTAAGGCACTAGCTCTCCCTTCCTTTGAGCTGTAGAGAAACAGTAGTATTAAAAAATAGTATAATCCTGAACACATGTAGACTTGACACATGCAGCTACAGTTTATCATATCTTTTGAATGAATTTGCACCAACTGACCTGAGAAACACTTGTTTAGGTAGCTACCATTTTCTGGGTGAAGCTGCACTCAGAAACAAAGACTTCTGGATTATTATGTGGCTCATTTTTTTAATGTGTTCCAGCCCTCTACACAGATATCACCATGCATCAGACAGCGCTGGCCACTAGAGGCCAGACTGGTAGAACCCAACATATAAAACTCTTGCAGCTTCTATCATACCTGCTGAAATAAGTGGAGTGTAGCACCATGTCAGAGATGTGAATGGCTCTGTATCTTCCCTGCACCACTCTGGAGCTATAAGGAACCAGTGAAGAATCCACTGAGCCTACTGAATTGGTACTGAAGGAAAAAGAACTAGAGATAGTAAATTCCTATGAAAAGTAACTGAAATGTGGGTTTTAAGCTGGTTATGGTAGTCAGCAATACTGAGGATCTCATGGGAGATATTAAGGAGTAAGTTAAGTTTGTCTTTTCTGAAAAGAAACTATTTTTTACAAATAGCATGAGAAAAAGCAGAATTGGAACTGAAGTGATGACAATTACAGTGAAGAAATAACGGTGGTCATCAGCAGCAAGTTCTGTTCATGCTGAACTATGGAATAATATTCAATAGTAAAGAGCTGCTTTACTAAAACCACTAACAAGAACCTGCCTTCATAAAAATATTAAAAATAAAACAAATCCCAGTTCACATTTTGCTCTCTGGTACAATAATTTCAGGGCACAGTGGAGGCTGGCTGCTCCCTGAGGGTCAGGGGGCCAGGAGCCACCTGCAGTAGTACAGCCAGCAGGACAGGCACTTTGCCAGCTGGGGACTGTCCCACAACACCTCAATGAGGCAAGCAGAGCAGACCTGGCACAACAGCCATGGTCAGCTGAGAGTCCAGACTGCTAGACAAGCCTTCAGGCATGAGGCAGGTCTGAGGTCAAACAAGGAAATCAATCCTCAGGTCAATGTCAGGTCCAGTGATGTTAACCAAGGTCAGACATAGTCCAGTGATTACCAGGCAGGCCCATCATGATGAGGCATGTCTGAAATCCAGTGAGGAAGTCAGGCCATGCACCAGGGCCTGGATCAACAGGGTCTGTGGCCAGACACAGGCATGGCAGTGACAGAGCTGAAGGCACGCATGCCTACACGTAGCTCAGGCAGGGACTAATGGCTTAGGACTGACCTGAAAGTTGGTGCCTGGCCATCCACAGGAGGAGCGGGTGGAGTCTCCATGTGGATCTGCTCAAGGCCATTAAAGCCTCTTGTTTTGCTCAGGACACAGAATTTTGCATTGAAACATTTTAGTCCCTGTTCTGCCAATTGATGGGGGCAACAGAAATAACATAGACACCAATGGAAAGAATAGGCTTATTTTACTATTGGTGTTTTAAGATAATAGAAAAATGAATAACATATTCACATATAAGGTTAGTCTACTAAGCTCTCATGCAAACAGCACAAGCAACAACAAAGACAATAAGAAAGCTAATGTACCTAACCATTACTACACACAGGAAATAACAATGATTAAGAAAGACACATCACCAATTGCCCTAGTACTTCATCATCATCCAGACCTGCAGTTGCTGGGGAGATCCTGGTTGCAGTGAGGGTTTGGAGAGCCCTTCCCAGCAATTGGGAAGTCCTTCACAGTGCGTCCACTCATAGATGAGGTGTCCAAAGTTGCTGCAAGAGAGTCCAGCTTTTATCGGCCAAATTAGCAAGCAAAAAATAACTTGCAGTTTCTTATCTTTTGTGCAGATAATACCTGGTGGTACTTCCCTCCAACAAACCGAGGCCAGGGCTTGGCCAGAGCCCAGGACACGGGTGGTGGGGTTTCCCAAGTTATATTATAGAGAGGGCATGACCTTGGCAACACTTCATGGGAAATTATATAACCAGTACCCAACTTCTCTCTGAGATACTGTGCAGAAGGCGCCATGGCCTTGGGCAGATACAGCCTATACAAGAGTCATCTATAAGCTATCTCCCAGGCAGCATGGCCTAGGACAGATACAGAGCCTATGCAAAGGTTATCTGCATTTATGTTCTCCATTAAGTGATCTAGTTAACTAACACAAAGAAACACTGTTTACAAGGAATACAGGATTCATCTACAAGTCAACTCTGGCTTGGACCTGCTGTCCAAGCCCTAGCATTTCAGTACCCTTCCTCCAAGGTGAAAACCTGCTGCTTCTTTGGAAGAACTTCAGGAAAAAGAATCCATTTTCCTACTTTATAAATCTGCTATTTATCATGAGGTTTTTTACCCCATGGATTTTCTCCAGAGTCAGATCTTAGATTACAGAGTTTCTATTGTAAATTGGATAGGATGCCTGGGTCAAGACGATCTGGAAGGTCTCTTCCAACCCACGCCTTTCTGTGCTTCTAGGACTCTACGGTGCCCCCTCCCCCCACTCCCTGCAGAGGCCACCACTGTGCTGCTCCTCTGTGATATGGAACCTGCTCCTCTGTGACATCACCTCCCAGGATCAAGGGCATCACGGTAACACCAGTGCTGCAGGCAGCACCTTGGCGGTTGCACTCAAGGGGACGAGTTCTTGCAACTGACTTGTGTTGCTGACAGCCATGAATATTATTGCTCCTCATCTTGCTGGCTGCATCCGGGTCCGCGCACGGTGCATGGGACACCTGTGGGTAAGTGGCCCCGGGCTCTGGGAGGGAGCGTGGGAAGCTTTAGGGGATTCCCTGAGCAATCCACTTGCCCTCTGTGGCCACACTGCAGCTTCCCAAACCCCATGTAGGAAGGAGACTCAGTTCCTTACCAGCACCCAGGCTGCAGGCACAACGCATCTCTGGGGTTCAAGCACAAGCAGGCACAGACAGATGCATGGCCCATGGGCTTCCCTGGCCCTGCGGGCCCAGCAACCAGTGCCCCATGCACAGGGCCCTGCAACCAGCTGAGCTTCAGCCTCAGCAGCCCAAGCCATCGAGCAGGACACTCATGACTTTCTGCTTACAGACAGGTCTGCGGGCTCCAGCCCGTGGCGGCTTCCTACATCTCGTCGCGCATTGTGGGTGGCACAGATGTCCAGGCTGGTGCCTGGGCCAGCATCGTCAGCATCTGGGATTACAGACACCGGAGCACGGCAAATCAGCGCAGGGTCCCTCATCAGCAACAGTGGGTCCTCACAGCTGCCCACTGCTTCCTCAATGTCAGAACATAAGGAGGAGTAGGGAGTGGGCATGTCTCCAAAACACCAGCAGCTGCTGGTGGCCACAGCACCACGTGCTGCTCCCATCCCATTTCCTCGCAGAGCGCCCACTGCCGCGCCCTGCACGGCCCAGCTGAGAGCCTGCTCAAGGACAAGGCTGTGCTCGTGCCACTGCTTCCTAAAGCCTCCAGCTCACCATTCCCGGAGCCCAAGGCACACTAGGGCAGTCGCACCCTCCATACAGAGCATAGCTTTCCTCTCTGTCTTGGGAAGCAGAAGGCCCCAGGGAGCTGCTGGGCTGCCGCAGCGCATGGCTCTGCTCCCTCTCACCCCTCTCTCCATCTGCCTTCCAGCGACACGAGCCTGTGGCGTGTGGGGCTTGGGGCCACCGTCTTGAATCAGCAGGTGGAACTGCGCCAGGTTAAGCGGCTCCTGACTCACGAGTACTTTGATCCTGTCACCAAGAGGAACGACATTGCCTTGCTGGAATTGGACCAGCCTGACACATGCAGCGACTACATCCAGCTTGCCTGCGTGCCTGAGACCACGCTGAGAGTGTCTGAGCTGCAAAACTGCTTCATCGCTGGCTGGGGTCAAGCCACGGCAAGAAGTGAGTTCCCAAAAAGGGCTCATGTCCTGAGGGCAAGCTTGGCACAGCAGGGACAGATGGCTGGGGCTTCCCAACTGCAGAGGCCAAAACCAGAGGAGAGCTGGGGGGCAGATGCCTCTGCAGAGATGTGTCTGGTCCACTCCCCAAAGCCAGACAGCAGGGACACAGAGCTCTAACAGCCCTCCAGAGGCAGAGCCAAGCACTGGGGAAAGGCTTCACCCCCACACAGGCGGAATCGTAGAATTTTAGGGGCTGGAATGGACCTTACAGATCATCTAGTCCCAGCCCCCCCAGCCATGGGCAGGGATAC